AATCAAATTCAAATTAATGATAACTCCCTTTTTGCTAGATTGCTGGCTTTAATGAGGACATCTACTTTGGGTGACTGCCTTGTGGGAGGAATTGGGATTATATAAAAGAAAGTTGAGGTGATCCCCTTCCATATGGGTGATTTAGGTGAAGCAAGGAAGAGTGTCAGTGAGACTATTTATTTTTGGAGAAGCTGATTAGAATTTTTTTTTAAAAAGGTGATTATAATACACTTTCTAAGTGAACCTCTGATAATAAAAGAAGGAGGTGCCATGGGTAGGAATCAGACACTAATGATGCAGTTAATGTTGTGCTGGGCACCATAATCCTTGTAGGTACCTCACATGTGCTTATGAGGTAGTCATTTTACTGTTTTCTTTCTACAGTGCTGCTTATCCATGCCTTTCCTTTCTTGTTACCTCAGCCCACACTGACTTATCATTTATTATACCTTAGCCTTCATTGCAGCTTTTGCTTCATTGTTCTCTCTCCATTTAAACAGAATAACATGCTTCTTATTCCAGTAGAATCTCAGTGTTTTCATGATATCAGGTTGTTTTGGTTGTCCAAGTTTCTCCTTTGCTCAGTGTCTATCCAAGTTGAGGTTTGCCATGGGAAGTCACACCTCTTTGAGGCAAGAGAACTCAGACATTGGTTGGAAGAGATGGTAGTGAACTGTGGCATGAGACATGAATGAGCAGATCTATTTTTGATTATGTAGGAGGCTTAGAAGCCTGGCCAGAAAAAGGCCTGGGAATGCTTCCTGTATGGATTAAAGGAGTCAAACATTTACCTGTATCCTGTTTAATTTTATTCCTTTTCTGACTGTACAATTTTCTATGTTAACTGAGGGATTATTTTTCAGGTTGTTGAGGAAACTAAACCATTATATCTTCTTATTTTTGTTCCTTCTTTGTAGAGAAAGTCCTGCCTTCCTAGGAAGAATAAATGTACAGTGTGAAATAACCGGTATTGCTTTAAGCATAGTGATTTAGCACAAATTATACTAAATCATAAATACAAATCCTAAATTATAAGGAGGACTGAACCAATTTTGCTGTATCTAGATTATGCCTTACAAGGCAGGGTTAAAGTGTGTGGAATGTATTGGGGTTGTCTGAGCTCACACTGCAGTCTTGGTCTGAGAGTATTTGCTTTCTGAAAGAAAGGCAAAGATATTATGTTAACATCTTATAGCTAAATATAGAGAAGGAAGGAAGTAGCTTACTGCCAGCTCTCTGTCCCCAAGCAGAATTGTCTGGAGAAACTATGAGGGCAAAGAGTGAAACCTTTAAAAGGTGGTTCATTAGCAATGTTATAAGATGATAATGCAGAAATGCCTTCACTCTACTTTATACCCTGAAGAAATATTTGCATACTTTTAAGTCTAAAGGGCTTCTTTATCCACAGTGTGTAAGGAACAACATTAATTTTTAGACATCTCTAAGCATCTTATTTAGAGTAACATAAATCAATTATTGTAACTTCTTTTCTATCCCTGTTTTAGGCCATGTCTATTTTGGCTTTGTTTATCCCAGAAGCAAACAAAGAATCAGATAGGAAACGCGCTTTTCTTACAGATATATTTTATTTGCCTTGTGATAGTTTCCTCCCTGAATTTTCTGACAAGTATTAATATTTTTCCTTCTCTTTCCTTTTGTTGATTTAACTCAAGTTGTGATTGTATAACATCATTTTTATTTTTTGAACAACCCTTAACTTTGGTCGTCAATGGAAAATACTCTTTTTTAAAAAAAATAATTTATTTATTTATGGAAAATACTTTTGAAGGTCTGTATTTCTTTTCATAAACTGAGACTTGCTTTAACTTCTCAAAATTCATTCATTCCTTCTCTCTCTCTCTCTTCCTTCTCCAGAATACATTAATGATTTTTTTTTCACTTTTCCTGAGAAGATAATATTTTCTAATAGTGTATATTTGAGTACTTCTGGTTAATTAACAAATTCAGTAAAATTTATGATAATAAAATTCACAAAGAGGTTAGGTTTATTAAATTTCAGAATTAATTGAATCAGAGATTTTTCAGACTCAAAAGTAAAATTTTTGGTGGCTTACTGCTTTTCAACTTGTTTTTCTTTCTATGTTCTTTGTGATGTGGAACAGCATTTACATTTCCCCTTAAAGTTAATCACATTTGAGGACTTCTCTTTCTCTATAGTCCCTGTATATCTGATGAGCCACAGTATCCATCTGTGATTTCCCTATTTCCCTAAGTCAATTACATGGCCCAGGTCTTTATCATTTCTGACCTTCATACTTTCTGTATCTTTTAAATTTCCTTTTTTCCCTTTCCTTCTGCCAAAAGCAGAACAGTTCTTTTTTTACTAAGTTATTTAAGTTCTTTTCTTAAATAAAATCCTGCTTTCCCCCCAAAAGTTCAAGATTAAGGATAGTGACCTTTAAAATCAAGCTTTCACTAAAACCTGGAGTTAAAGTAGTTAGAAAATATTTATAGGGACTAAAATTATTACTGTGTACTTACATATCTTTATGCCAAGGATTTTCATTGATAGGAATAATTTGACTTAGAAGCATGTGATTGTAGAATAAATTGAAAAGAACCCATTAATTTACATATGGTTTTTATTATTTTCTTTGACTGAATCAATGTTGAGTTGCACAATAAATTGCTGACTTTGTCACAGTATTGACTCAGCTAGTCAAAGCAGAAGTTGTGGGGGAGAATCTCTTTTGTAAATATTTGCATGTTTTATTTGACAGTTTTAGAGATGCTAGCTACAACTATTAATAAATCTATAAAGGAGCCAATTATGGCAACTTTAGTAGGATATTAAACAAAAATAATAATTTCTTAGGAAATCAAACCTTTTTTTAGACTCCAAATATATAAAAGGAACTCTACATTGACTAATGAAATCAGTAGATCATCATTTCTCATTCAAGTGTTTATTGGGCAGGTGCCTGGCATGATTTTAGGGGTGTGGGATACAATAATAAACAGAACAAATAAAGATCCTGCCTTTATGAAGTTTGCATTCCACTGTAAGGAGGCAGAAAACAACTAATAAACATGAGTAAATACATAATTTAGAAGGGATAAGTACAATGTAGAAAAAGGGCAGATTAATGGGAAGTTTTAATGCTAGGTTAGGGACTGAACTTTAGTATAAATGTATCATTTGTGAAGATGACAAATTATCATCTGACCTGTAGTTAGAGTACTAGTTAGTTGCTTAGAAAATGTTAAGCTTTGAAATTAAGAAAGTGTGGATCAGATTCCATCCTAGATCTTAGGGAGTACACAGCTAAGCAGGGGAAGGGGAAAAATCATTAAACAAACTAGCATGTTATGGTGTTACAGATACTTCAATAAAAGCATGTATAAAGTCTAATAAAGCACACAGCCCTTTCATTTTCTAATCTGATCTCACCTCTGTGATAAGCAGTTTATTTAAACCATGAGGGTTTTTTTTTTTTTTTTTTTTTTTGTACTGAGGATTGAACTCGGGCACTTAATCACTGAGCCACATCTCCAGCCCTTTTTTGTATTTTATTTAGAGACAGGGTCTCACTGAGTTGCTTTGTGTCTCCCTAAGTTTCTGAGGCTGGCTTTGAACTCTCGATTTTCCTGCCTCAGCCTCCCGGGCACTGGGATTACAGGAATGCGCCACTGTGCCAGGCTTAAACCATGACTTTTATAAGCCTTCTAGATTTCAAATCTTGCTTAGATTGCTTTATACTTGGTGATGTAAATTGATCATTTTTCCCACACTTTATTACTTTAAAAAATTAGCTTCTGATTACTCAGCATGTCCAAACTTGTTCCAAATTATAATCAGTTGCACTTTTTTAAACCACCTAATTATCTAAGTGGAGTGTTTTTATTTAGCATCCATCCAGCATCCATCATGTACTGCTACACATACTTAATGAGTAAAGCACTATAAAATTTGCAAGACAATGTGGTAGGCACTAGAAATGCAGCAATAAATAAACTGACAAAATTCTGTATTCTAAGATCTTACAATCTAGTGGAGGAGGCAATCAATAAGTAGAATGTTACATATATACATATATGTAGTTCTAAAACTTGTTGAAGGTCTGAGCATCCTGTACATTTTTAAATATCATATGAGGACTCCAAAGAGCTTGTGTTATAGATATCTGTTAATGTTCACCAGTTCAGAAATCAAAATAGGAATTTTAAACTTATTTATTTAAAAGTAGTAATAATAGTCTGTGATAAAATAACCATTTCCCTACTCCCCTCTACAAGATAATGAGAAGAGTGACATATTAATTTTTTTCAGTTCTGTTTAATGTCAGGCTTAGCAGAAGATATCTGGATTCTCATATCTGTTTCTATATTTAATCTGTTATATGTTGTTTTGATTGAAGTACATGAAAATATAGCCTCATATAGGTATGTAGTTAGAAAAGGAAGTAATGCTTTACTAGTCTCTTAAGAGAATTGTGAATATTCTTCTTTGGTACTTCACCAAAACTCAAGTGATAGTTTTTTAAACATTAATTGCAGTGTAGAAGCTGAAACTACAAATGAAATTGATATATGAAAATACTTATTCAAATCCTTTGGTTTAGCAATTTGAACAGCTCATTCACCCTCTATATGATTTTGTAACATGCATTGATCATTTAGGAATACTGTTTTTTCACTGAGTTATATAGATCTGACATAAATATTTGACATATATTGTTTTATGGCATAAAAAGTCATATTTGTTGATATTGCTTCAAACTTTCAGAATCTGTCAAGGTCATGGTGGTTGATAAATACATGTCTTCCAAAATTCTATTGTTTATCTAAAAGCTTGAAGTTTATAATTGACAATAAACATTGTCAGTGCTCATAGATTTAGCTTTTATTATTTGCAGAGTTGGGCTCAAGCATTTCATCTGTGGAAACAATTTGAGCAAAAGCTGGGAATTATGATTCATGTGAGCAGTAAGCGCCGTGTAACTGAAACATCATGGTTCATGCAAGAGAATATTGGGAAAGTGCTTACTTGGGCAGTACATGTACTTAAATTGTAATGAGATAGAGAAGATTAGCATGGCCCCTGTGAAAGGATGACACACAAATTTGTGAAGCATTCCATATTTTAAAAAGTATATTGAGAAGTAAGACTAGAAATGTATTTTTATTGCTGATCTAGAACTATAACAGTTGCTCAAAATTGTCCCTAAGGCTGAAGACAGTGCATGTGTATTTATATAGTATCTTGAGTGATAGAATATTTGAGATTAAGAAAGAAAAGATTCTTTTATCATGAGCAACATAGGTGGAGAAGGTGACATTTTCCTATATCCCAGAAGAATGAATACAATTCTAATAAGCAAAGATATTAGAGGCTAAACAATGTGCTACCTGGAAAGTGATTGTATTTTCCAGCAGACTGTAAGTTACTTGAGATCATGGATTGTTTTATCCTTGTTCATGTTCCATACATAGTACCTTATGCATTCGAGGGCTCAGTAGTTATTTCAGCAGTGACTCAGGAGTTAATCCTGTAAACATGTTTGTGTGTGTGTGTGTAATGTTTTCATTTTATGCTAAGTGGGAAAAAAAGGTCTTCCTGATTATAGAGGTTAATTCTACTTTTTACTTCAATTGCAGAACATGCAAATAACCACTTCCTTTGGCAAATAGATGGTAATTTATTTATAATTGTTTCATGTCTTGAAGGAGAAGGAAATATGACTTAAGGAGGATAGATTCCTAAGTAGTGTTTCAGCAACAATAAGGTTTAAGAGTTTAAATCTCGGGGCTGGGGATGTGGCTCAAGCGGTAGCATGCTCGCCTGGCATGCGTGCGGCCT